AGAGAGAGAGAGAGAGAGAGAGAGAGAGAGAGAGAGAGAGTACGTGTGAAGGGTTGCTGCTGAGTGGGTCAAAAAGGCAAGTGGCAGGAGTACCTCTCACGCACGCCCAAGCACACGCGCGTGGATAAGCGTAGTCCCAATACAATAGCCAGCCGGTGCTCGCTCTTTGCTTGCTGAAGTCGTTTTTTTCGTTCAAACCTATAGAGGTTGTTTTGGAAAAAATACATCAAAACACAGAAAGGTTTGTATTCGCCGTGCTGCTATGTTTCACACGGTGTGTATGTTGCTCCATCACCCAACGAAACAGCGGTATAGTTTACGCATCGTATCCACGCAGTCGAGGTAAGAGGGGGTGAGCTCGGCTTGCTGCATTTATCCATGCATGTCGAAACAACCGTCACGCTCACTCGCCTTCTGGAACGGCATGCCCAACAAAAACGCTCCCATAGCCCCCGTCCATGCCCCCGTTCCCGGCAGCGGGATTCCCACGAAGAGCGTCAGCGCCAGGGCCTGGCTCTTCTCGTCGCCGAACCCGGCCGCCTTCTCCCTAGCCCTGTCCAGCACCGGCTTGGCCAGCTTCTGCACGAACGAGGACCGCAGCGCGAGCAGGATGATCGGGATGGGGATCATGTTGCCGGCGACGCACAGCCCGAAGACCTTCGCGATCGGCATGCCCATCCAGATGCCCACGGGTACCCCGCCGCGCAGCTCCACCACCGGCATCGCCGAGATCGTCATGAGCGTCGCCCAGTCCGGCAGACCGCCGCGCCTGAAAAACTTGGCGACCTTCTGACCGACATGCAGGTGCGCCTCGTCCTCGCTCCCCGCCACTATCGCCTTGACTGCGGCGGATGCGGTACCCGGGGCGAGCACGGAAACGGCCAGCCCAACCGCGAGCGCAGACGCGGTCAAGGCGGCAAATCGAGGGGTGAACAACGGCTTCTTCCGCGAAGGTAAGCCGGTCGGGCTGGTTTCCATTTCGAAAGTTGACAGTCCCGCCGAGGCAACAACAGGCCGCTCATGTTCAGGGGCATCGCGCCCCTGAGCCTGTCGGGAGTGGTGCCCAGGGGCCACATGAGCCACAGTGGCAGCACGCCCGGTCGCTCGCTTCGTCGCTTCGTGTGATAGCTGTAGAGATTGTTGGCGGCGCGGTGCCCGCTGCTCGAGGCTCCTGAGTGGAGAGTAGGAGGACAATGGTTGGGTTGTGAAAAGGGGCGCTACTTTAGGCGAGGAGGCCAAAAAGGCCGTTGCCATCGCCAGGTGGCTGAAGAACAGCGAGTAGGTGAATATGGATCTAGACATGGTGACCCGTGCGGGTGGCCAGTGTCGTGCGTGGATGATGAATGCAGCAAAGGCGAAGACGAAAGCCCAGTTGTGTAGTTGCAGCTGGAAAGACGACGCTTAATTTGGGCTGGTGGGGGCGCCGCGGTTTCGAACGGAAACATGCACAACTGTATTTTGCGCCCGCCGCGTGAACGAGGCGCTGCGGCACCTCGCACACACAGACGCTGCACCACACACCATGGGCCGTCCACCTCAGCTGATTCAACTGGTGGCGGTGGTTTGCCTCTGTTGCTTGCGATCGGTTGCGTTCACGCCCGGGGCTATCAACAACGTGTTCCTCCGAAACCGGCAGCAGCGGGACGACTGCTGTTCACGTTCAACCGCCCGCCGTAATCATGAACAGCAGGGAGGGAGTATCAGCACTTCGCTTGCCAACAAGCGCAGCTATCGACAGGACCAGCACTCCCGTAACACAGAGCTGAGAGCCGCAGGGGGCGGCGCAAGCGACAGAAGGGAGTTCTTGCAGCGGGTTGCAGCGAGAACCTTCGCTGCAGGCTTAGCCACAACCGCTGTTGTTACTGGGCCGGGCGAAGCGGGGGCGTTTTGCGGCGAACCCTACCCGTACTGGGCCTACTTCATGGACTTTGACGAGGTCTTTGTCCCTTTCAAGTTCGAGGGGTACTCGGGAAAGCTGTTTGCAAGGACTGTCGGGAACGGCAAGGACCAAAAAAAGGTGTGAAGCAGCACACAACATTCAATGTTGCTGTACGTATCATAAAGTGCTAGGGTTGGCTAAATGTGACACATCTTCGCATCATTTCGTTACATGTGAAAGACTGCTCTGTGTCCGGTCAAGTGCACGCACATTTTTTCCTCTGCCGGTCTGTTTAACCTCCTGGGAAGGTACACCAAGGTTACTGCTGTGCTGGGATTCCACACTCGTCGGCTCAAAAATAATCTCTCTGTGCAGTTGCTGCTATATCGTTCGCCACATCCAAATCTATCATAAACGACATTTTCACATGGGAGGAGTGCAATGCACAGCAGACGGTGGTGATCGAAGGTGGATTACCAAAAAGAGGTGCACCCTCACTCCCAAGCCACGGTGTGAGTGAGGCTGCAGAAGCAGCAGCAATCACGCTGTACGACCGCCACCGGGCCCCCACCTCCCCTCCTTGTCGCCAACGATCACCACCACCCAGAGCGTTCGCACCATGGCACATCCTACCGCCAACCCTGCCGTCGAAATGTACGCTGTTCGGAGAACCTTGTAGAAAGACAGGTTGGCATTCATACACACAATGAAAAAAGTGCTCATCTATCCTGGAGTCTTATCTATTGTTGAAGAGCTGAACTTGTTGCTGTTTATAAGAAAAAACAGGAAATGGTCTCAACATCACTCCACCAAAAAACACACACACATACATCTTCTGTGTAGGACTCCTTGATATCATGAAAGCGTTCAACAACAAGCCACCTGTGCCAGGAGTCAAACTCATCGGATATGTCGACGACCTCCAAGCACATCTCCCACCAGGTTTGGCTAGGAACATGCAGGCCATATCCACTGTAGCGAATTGGATTCAGGAACGTCTCTCCCAAAAAGGGATTGAGCTCAGTCTCCCGAAATCCAAAGTGCTTTTCCCGGAAGGTCTTTGCATGTCCTCTTTGACAAACGACGAACAACAACAGTTGACGAAAATTGGTCTGTCAGTTGCTGAAGGTGGCGTGCCAGTAGTCGGGATCCCAGTAGGTACAGAAGAGTTCCAGAGATATTTCGTTTCCGAATTCGCCCATGGCGACCCAGCGGAATTGATACTCCGCCTAGTAACGCTTGACGACCCTCAAGCCAGCTATCAACTGCTACGTTTATCTGGTGTACCACGTTTGTTTCATCTGCTGAGGACGATTGCACCGTCCATCACCAACTTTGCCGCTAGAAAACATGACAACATGATGATGTGGGCAATGAGTAAGATCGTCCTTGGCAAGATGGCCGACAGCATGAGAATACCAACCGACAAAGAAGTACGCGCAGACCCGACGAAGAGCGAGGAGGTAGATTTCTTAATCGAAGGGNCTGCCAATAGCAAACATGACAACTTGATGATGTGGGCAATGAGTAAGATCGTCTTGGCAAGATGGCCGACAGCATGAGAATGCCAACGGACAAAGAAGTACGCGATAACCCCACGACGAGCGAGGAGGAAGATTCCGTCAAAGGGATAGCTCGGGCACAGGTGCACCTACCCATGTGTGAAGGAGGACTAGGAATCACGAGCAATATTCTCATTCGAGAATCGGCTTTTGTGGCAGGGCAAGCGCTGGTGTTCTCCAAGTCAGTGCAAGCATCAACCGGATACACAGTTGAGCAATGTGTACCCCGGCTTGCCCAGCTACCGTCAGGATTGGCTCTGATTGACTCACTCAAAAAGCTAGAGGAGATCATCACCAAAGACAAGCTTGAAAAAGCTGTTGGGCAGTCATGGGCTAAACTTGCCACAAGTGATGAAGTAACCCCCGCCCTCAAAGGAGTTTACCTGTTGGAAGCAGGGAAGGAGGGAAAACCCAGTGAAGATGGAAACCCTGACGTAGAACATTAACCACCGTCTACCTACAGCCGAAATGAATTTGGTCAACACTACCAAGTCTTTGGAGCCCAAGCTCTCCTTTCGAAACCTCTTCATGCAGCAGTGCGCCACATGGTGGAGACAGACTTGCAGAAAGTAGTAGGCGAGGAAACGCCAAAGAAGAGGGCGTTGATCCGCTTGGAGGAAGCGAAAGGCAAGGGAGTTTTGTCGTGGTTGACAACGCAAGGGTTGTCAGCAGATGAAAGAATGCTGCCTGATCTATATCGAGAGTCAATCGGTCGTGTACTGGGGAGTCACGATCGAGCAGACTGCAACACAGGCAAACTTTGTGGTGCAGGTGCATTGTTACCATGCAAGGACCGCTTGAGCCGAGCCCACTCCCTCGTCTGCACCAAGACCGGCGCCTCAACCTTCCTCCATAACAGGATGGTTCGAGTGGTCCTCAAGACACTGCGCGAGTGCCATATGCCCATCGCCGTTGAGGATTCTTCCCCTTTTACCACAGGCACTGGTAGGGGAAAGGGGCTACACAAGATGGATTTGGTATTCCCCTAGGATTACACGCAGGAGAGGAGGAATTGGAACTCTGCACCAAGTCAGTTCTTATAGACGTAACAATCGTCAACCCATCCTCAGATCGAAGCATCGACAAGTCGATGCTTAAGCCAGGATCCGCCCTCGAAGATCGAGCTGCAAGTAAAGCAATCACTATGCGGGAACTTTCAGCCCGTCTAGATCTACCCTCCTTACTGCTGCTTTTTCAACGAATGGTGGTCTTGGCAGCGACACCAATCGACTCGTCGTTGCTATCGCCAACCACTTAGCGCACGAAGCTTTTTGCCGGGGGAATTTTGACGACGAAAGAGCCTTAGTTCGCCTGAAAGCTTTTCATACTGACAGGACTGGGAGACGGTTTACCTTCGAGCTAGCTCGTTTTCTGTCGATGCGAACTCGCGATGTGTTCAAACGTCATGGGGCACTGATCGACCAACTTCCACCAGGGCCAATCGGTTGGGATCTCTGCGACAACGATAGTTATGGGGGTAATTCTTTTGGGGGTGACGGAGACGAAGGAAGGGGAAAGGGGAGAAAGGAGGATGACGACGATGGAGCAGAAAAACATGGAGGAGTGGAAGAGAGCAAAGGGTTTGAGCCAGATGACCTTCCCCACAACAAGAAACGTAGGGCTAGGGAAGAACTGCCCAGAGATTCTTCTTGTCGAAATGAGGATCAGAATGATGGTAGCGAAAACAAGGAGGACACTGGTGAAAGTACTCCTAAACGAACTCGAGTACTAGGTAATAGCCTTG